CCAGGCAACGTAGTGCCGTACAACAGCGGAACAAACAAAACAAATCCTCTTACAATATCACAAAAATCATGGACAATCCATAGAAAAGCCCCACCTGACTAAAAGCCACAGGGTTCAAAGCTTGTGCAAAAAATAGCAGCTTATAGCCCGACAATTACGATAGTAATCTTTAACTCAGAAATGTCTTAATTTCAGTTGTTTCTAGTTATCATCTACATTTAATTTTTCTTTACGTTCACAATAAAAGAAATGGTACCTTAACAGTAGTTTAAAAGCTAACTCGGTGAAAAAGTGACAAATGCACACAAACAACCAACTGAAGTGATATATTATACTAAATGTCTTGACGTGAGCATTTCTCTTGTGCAGCCTGTAAAAATATATTTGCACTGAGTCACCAAAATTTTGAGAATCACTTAAGGCAACAAAAAAAAAAAAACACCCTTGAGCAAGAACCTGTTTGCAGTGGGGAGTAAAAAAACAGGCTCTGTGTGTGTGGCAGTCTGCCTTAATTGGTTGGGTTGAGGAAAGCGAAGATGAGCATTTTACAAACCAAATGACACAACAATAATAACTTCTGGGCAGGTTGGTAGGGCCAGTCACTGTTGATGAAATGCATGCAGTTTTAAACTCAAAGATTTGTAATGTTTGCAGAAAAGGTACAGGGACAGTGAGGACAGAACAAAATGCACAAACTACAAGAAAGAAAATAGAAGCAAATGACATACAATACTATAATAAATAAATGCCCGCAGAGTGAAATACAGAACAGCACAAGACAGGTGCTCTGTGAATTTAGAGGTCTCAGCAACATAGGCCCATGTAGCAGCAAGAGTCAGAATCAACTAAGCCAGCCCTAATTGTATCAATCAATCCATCCATCAATTCGCTTCCGCTTTTCCTTTTCAAGTTTGCGGGGGGCGCTGGAGCCTATCCCAGCTGTCATAGGGCGAGAGGTGGGGTACGCCCTGGACAAGTCGCAGGGCTAACACACAGAGACAGACAACCATTTGCACTCACATTCACTCCTGCATTCACACCTATAGGCAATTTGGATTAATCAATTAACCTATCCCCCTAATTGTAATCATCAGTATTTAGTTTTTTGTACAGCATCTGCCGGTGAAATATAAAAGCTACTTATGTTAATTTAAAAGCTCTGAGAAGCACAAGTAAGGCTGAGTGAAGTTTTCTATATGGAGCTGTGAGATTTTTAGAAAGTAGATACAAGAATAATCTTGATTTTTTTACAGGGAATCAATAACCAAAGTCGATATCTAAGAAAAACTGTTTCTAGCTCATGTTAGCTGGAGATTGTATGACGGCAGAAATTTGGCGTGTATAAACTAGAGGTTGTATCTTGTTTCTCAGTTGTAAAAACAATCTATAGGGATTTTATTGCTGCCAACTATCTCCTTACAGAATGATATGAGGACAACCTATGCT